GATATTAGCAGGAGATAGCGACGCTGTATACAATGTGTTAACCTGGGATATTAGCAGGAGATAGCGACACTGTATACAACGTATTAACCTAGGATATTAGCAGGAGATAGCGGCACTGTATACAATGTGTTAACCCGGGATATTAGCAGGAGATAGCGACACTGTATAGAATGTGTTAACCTGGGATATTAGCAGGAGATAGCGACGCTGTATACAATGTATTAACCTGGGATATTAGCAGGAGATAGCGACGCTGTATACAATGTATTAACCTGGGATATTAGCAGGAGATAGCGACGCTGTATACAATGTGTTAACCCGGGATATTAGCAGGAGATGGCGAGAATTTTATGTGTAGTGGCTGAGAGTGTTGTGTGTGGAGAAGGCTGACCGTTGTATGTGAGGGGGAGGCAATGTCTGCACGTGTGTGCTAGTTGAGTGTGGTGTGCTGTGGCTGAATTCTTTGTGTGAAGAGCCTATTGCCCTGGGCAACCTTAACACAGGAGTCACTAGCCACTAGTTGGTTACTGGCTTCCAGTACCGGCAGTTAACTCCCTGTCGCTACTCGGAGCATTTTATCGTTAATAAACTGCAACTCCCTAACAGCAGTGACTGACAGGAATTGTCAGCAAGTAGATTCTAATTGACAAACAGTGTAATCAAACCCAAAGTGTTTATTAACTAGACAGGAAATTGGAGGGAAATAAAAAAACAACATTTTAAACATATCCCTTATTGTCCTCAGTGTGTTTTCAATTGATCTCAGTGAACTGTTTAGTGAATGAGAGACTCTGAATCTTATGTTGTTTTATCAAATTTTTCATTCCTTTTCTCTTCTTTACAGTAACGTGTGTCGTAGTGAAATAAAAAACATGGACGAAAATGTCTGATTTGGGAAAATGACCCAATTAGCTCATTTTTGTCTGGGTTTTACAATTCATTTTTTTATTTATTAATTACTTAGTGAAAAAACCCACTACTGCATCTTATCTAAACAGCTACACATGGAACTTGCACACGTTTAAACAGATCATATTTCCATCAAGGTTAATATAGTTATAAAAAGGAGAAATCTCTCACCAGGAATACAATATTGGTGTTCTGATAGAGAGCGCGCGCCACACATATCCTCTGACGTTGGCCTCCACTTAAATTAATTCCCTAATAAATACAAAAGATACAAGTGCGGTGAGTCAGAACAGACAAAATAAACTATCCAAGATTAGAGAAATTAACACAAGGACTGCAGCTGATAATACGTTCCAAAATCTGCTTGATATTTCTTTTCTGAAATTACTGACGATCATTCAGCTTTTGATACTAACAAGATAGTCCTTCCATTGTTAGTGATTCACCCACCAGCAATGGATCTTTATTTGCTTTCATTTAGACATTAGACCCCTTGCTCTGCTAACTCTTAGGGGTTTTTCACGCCTTAAAATCAGCGTGTTCTGTAACTGGACGTCCGATCCCAAGAGAAATAAGCAGAAAGAGGCTATTTTTATCTGAATTAATATCTTAAGGAAATTGATGGCAGGACACTCGGGGGATTTACTGAAACGCAGATAGAATTCATAATTACAGATAAACATTTATACTTTATGAAGAAATTATTTCCTTTGTAAAATATTAATCTAAGATTTGTGTACAGTGAGACGTCTTCTTACTTTATCATTCATTTCTAGCTCATTGTTACTTTTAACAGAGTTCAGTTTCCCTCTGAGACAATACATTGGTTCCTGCAGACATTATCTGATACATTATATTATTGTCTGATACATTATATTACTGTCTGATACATTATATATGTTACTGTCTGATACATTATATACGTGTTACTGTCTAAAACATTATATTATTGTCTGATACATTATATACGTGTTACTGTCTGATACATGATATATATATTACCCAATTGAAAATCAGGTTTATTATCAAAATTGACGGACCTTAAGCTGTTTGCAATTAACACATCAAACAAAAGCAATTGAAATAGCTCAACACAACAAAGTGATTTCCCCAAATTGAACTGAAAATGCTACTTTTAATGACTTGATGGCAAGCATCTTTAGTACTCAGTAGAGCGCCCTTTTGCTGTTATGACCTGCTGCAAACGGAATGTAAGCACATGGAGCAGGGCCCTCCATCCCCTCTGTTCCTGTGCGTCCAGTTGTCTGGTTACAATTACATACCTGTTAGTCCACCCATTGAACAGCGCTATGGAATCTGATGGCGCTATATAAATAGTAAAATAATACTAATAATAATAAAAGCCAGACACCAGCTTCTGGGAGCGTTCCTGAGGAATCTTTGCCCATTGTTCATGAGCAATGGCCTCCAGTTCAGTAATATTCTTGGGGTTGCGTGGTGCAAGTGCCTTCTTTAAATCACACCTGAGATTTTCTATGGGGTTCAAGGTAGGAGACTGTGATGGCCACTGTAGAATGTTCCTGGACTTCTTCTGAAACCAAGCCTCGGTGGATTTTGAGTTATGCTTGGGATCATTGTCTTGTTGGAAGGTCCAATGACGCCCAAGCTACATCTACCTCACAGACAGCATGACGTTTTCTCCAAGGATTCTCTGATACTACAATGAACCAATCTTGCCTTCCACATGCTGTAGGTTTCCAGTGCCAGAGGATGCAAAGCAGCCCCAGAGCATCACAGAGCCACTGCCATGCTTAACTATTGGCAGAATGTTCTTTACCTGCTTCATTTTTCTTCCTCCAGATATACCACTGATCTATTGGGCCAAAAAGTTCCAGGTTTTTTTCATCGCTCCACAGAATAGAATCCTGTGACAAACTACTCTTTGCCACTAGCTTCTGGAGGGCCCTGATTGCCAGCCTCCTGCCCCAAGACTATGGGTCCTGCATAAAGACATGCTAAAAAGGAACTTCCATGGGAAAATGTGCCTCTAACCTTCCCCTTTTTCCTGTCCTATTGTTCTCCAGCAGGGCGTTGTCCCAGGGACCCCATGGTGATCCAACTGTATTCGTGAGATCTGAGTGCTTTTCTGACATATTGAGCACTCAGATCCAAGCTATTTGGGGATATGTTGGACACATAGGTTAAACACTGTATTATAAGAGTTATGTATTTTTATGTGGTTTTTGTAACAGTTTTTGACTTGGAGATATTTCCTGTACCTGAAGATAATTTGGTTACCACAGCCACTTAAGCCAATTACCTCCAGGATAGAGGAGAAGATAGACCGGCCACACAGCCTAAATCTGTGGAACTATCTTGGGCAGTCAAGCTTGCGGTCGGTCAAATGTGACTTCCACAAAACTTTTGAACCCCTGCTCTGATCTGGGTGATTTTTGGATATGTTGTTCGCCCAGGTCAAGGCTATCCAGGGATGTAGAGATGTTGGGTTATGTGGTGTTTTGAGGTGTTTTCTGTGTTTTGTGAAAAATGTGTTTTTTCTGCCTGTGGGTAATTGAGTTAGTCCATTGTGTTTGTTAATTATCACAGGCAGAGGGGAGGGTTTGTGTACATTAGCTTGGAGTTTCTAACTGTACAATACTGTGTTGATTGGCTGCAGTGACTGTGTCCTGTGCTCCAGAAGGTCCACGTGGGTGGTAACCTTGTGGGGAAAACTGTATAAAAGAAATGCTTGTGTGCTCATTAAATCAGTTCTACTTGACCCTTAACTCGCAGCCTCGTCTCGCGTGTTTGGGGAACAGCTATAATCACTACAGGGATTGCTATGCTCTTCATCCTCCCTTAGCTTCACTGCTAGCTCTTGTAAGAGCTCTCTCTTCAGCTATACAGTTATACTTTCTTAGAGGAGAGACCCAGCTATACTCTCTTGGAGGAGAGACCTAGCTATACTCTCTTGGAGGAGAGGTCCTTCCCACACGCTCCTGGATCCAGAGCTTAGAGTCCCAGGGTGGGAAGGAGATGGCGAGATCCCAACCAAGCTACGGCGGTTCGTGGAGTCTGTGGTGCATATGGTGTCTGGTGTGGTGCTGATGGTCCTTGAGAAGCGCTAGGATTATCCGTCGGCGGAGGTGTCCATTACAAATCCCAATACTTTTGGTTTATTTATATGATTTCAGGCATACAGGAGCCTTCTTTTCTTGTGATTTTGGGTCAGTAGTGGTGTACGTCTTGGAGTTCTTGCATGGAAACCTTCTGCGTTTAGTATGCGCTTTACTGTTCTCACTGAAATCTCAGTACCTGCTGTACCTGCTGCCAACAAGCCTCGCTGCAAGTCTTTTGCAATGACTTGAGTGTTTTTCACAACTTAAGTAGAAAGTAAATATAATATATAGAGTAAAGGAAATGTGAGTGTGATATATCACCTGAGTGGGAAACCCCTTATACCACTCTAAAACATACAAAAACACAATACATACAGTAGGTGAATCACACTCCTTGAGGCATCTACAAAAAATATAGTGTAATATTGTCAATAGATATATAAAAGAAAATAAGAAAGGGGATCATGTACTCACAAACCAGGAGCCAAATATAAACATATGGCTCTCATGGGAACAGCATTGGGACCATAGTGTAGGATGTCCCTCTCCTTCTTTAGGATCTTCTTGTGGTGAATCTGATGCAGTAGGATAAAATGCAGCTTGCAGACATTTACAAATACTGGATTGAAGTAGACTGTGGACTTATATTTTGTTGCAGTCTATTCTTCTTTTTTTATGTTATTTATTTTATTATTGGATCAATACAAACTTTATGAATAAAGTAAGTGTGGCAAGCTGCATTTTATCCTACTGCATCAGATTCACCACAAGAAGATCCTAAAGAAGGAGAGGGACATCCTACACTATGGTCCCAATGCTGTTCCCATGAGAGCCATATGTTTATATTTGGCTCCTGGTTTGTGAGTACCTGATCCCCTTTCTTATTTTCTTTTATATATCTATTGACAATATTACACTATATTGTTCTATATTTTTTGTAGATGCCTCAAGGAGTGTGATTCACCTACTGTATGTATTGCGTTTTTCACAACTTGCCTTCTCAGAAATCTGGTTGCCGTTGATAGCTTCCGTTTTCTGACCCATTAAGATAGTGTAACCACGGTTCCTTTAATATTGAACTTGCAAACTATGCTTCCAATGGAGTCTCTAGGAACATTTAGTGCCTTCGTTATTTTTTTGTATCCTGTTCCTTGTTTGTGAAGGGGCAATGATCTCTTCTCCTAACTGTTAGGGTCTTTTTACTCTAACATACAATCAAACATGACATTCAGCAAACTCCTAGCCTGTTCAGGTATTTCAAGTTTTCCAGCTGAAGCACAGCTGGTGCAACTAATGAAGCCCTTGATTAGTTGGATCAGGTGTGCTTGAAGCAACACCTGTTTGCATACTTGTTATGTTGTGAGGAATTCTATTTGGGGGTTGAATCATTTTGAGACTAGAGAAATAATTATAAGTTGCATTTTCAGTTAAATTTGAGAAATCCACTTAAAACATTTCTTGTGTTGAGCTATTTCAATTGCTTTTGTTTGAATTGTGCATTGCAAACAGCTTAAAGTCTGTAAATGTTGACAAATAAACCTGATTTTAAATTGGGGTCCACTAATATTGATTGCAACTGTACATGTTACTATCTGAGATAGTATGTTGGCTCCCACAGACATTATCTTATACATTATATTTGTGTTACTGTCTGATACTTTATCTGTCTGAGATAGTATGTTGGCTCCCACAGACATTATCTTATACATTATATTTGTGTTACTGTCTGATACTTTATCTGTCTGAGATAGTATGTTGGTTCCCAGAGGCATTGCCTGATACATTATATATGTGTCACTGTATGAGATAGTATGGAGGAAATTATTAAGATATTTTTTTATAATAACCCTTTCTCCAATTTCTGTTTGGTCTCCAAAAGGTAATAAGTCAATATCTGGCTGGAGTGAGCAGGCATCGATGACAGCCTTGTATCTGTAAAAGAAGATACAAAATTAAAGATATATAAAAACATGGAAAGATGGAAGGAGAATTATATAAACTGGAAACAAATTCAGCAAAGATGCAAATAATTAAGTAAACAAGAAGTGAACTAAACTAAGTGGAAACATATTTATTATACAGCTATTGATGAAGCCGAGAGAAAGGGGATTCACAAATAGGAAGTGGATTAAGCAAACAGGAAGTAACAGAGTTAACAGGAAGTGGATTTAAAAAAACGGGTAGGAAACGGTAAACAAGAAGTGAATCAAGTAAACAGGAAGCAGATTCAGCAAAGCAGGAGGTGAAGTTTCAAATGATTAGAAACTAGAGCTAAGCCATCACTATGTGGAATTTACAGCATTGCTCAACTCTTTCTCTTACCTCTGTTTGTTGAATGTACTGCCAAACGTTATGTTCTCCTCCACCGTGGCATTGAGTAGCCAAGATTTCTGTCCAGCATAAGCCACGGCATGTCTGTTCTTGCTGCAAAGTGAAGACAGAATTGTTGGGGAGATAAAACTAGGGATTTTTCATAAATTGAAAGAATAGGAGACAGCACTCTTCATCCACCGACATAAAATGCTATTTACTGACAGATTAATACGGA